CGTCGAGCCTTGCCAGGAGGCGGCGTACAGCCTGTGGGCGGAAGCGGATGGTGCGAAGAGGTGGAGCCTCTGAGGGAGCAGGGTCCGGTAGGTCAGCCTCCACAAGGTCCGGACCGGCAACGCTACATTTCTTCGAGAAGAAGCGAGCGAATGCCTCTGCTTTCTCTGAGCTCGTTGCCCACTCGCGGCCGTCAGAGTCGACAACTAAGGGAATTTCGGGCTGTGTGCGGTTGCCAGCAGCGTTCTTTAACTTCGTCCACCACTGTTTGTCTCTGATTGACCCAGTTGAGAGGCTGCGACGGAGGCTGTCCTCCTTTGCACGTCGTGATCGGAACTGGGTGGCGATCGCTACAGTCACGGAATCGGTGAATGCCTGCTGAAATGCTGGGTCATAAGGGTGTTTTCTCCAGTCGCGCCAGCGCTTCTCCTTCTCCCTCTCGGTCTGGGTGCATTCAGGCGTCCACCATACCGGATCGGAAGGCCTCGTTTCCAGGACTTTGGATGGGACAAACTGTGCAACAGCTGCAGTAATCGAAGCGGTAACCTGCTCACAGGAAGTTTCTGGGTCCTCCGTGATGATATCACCCCATTCCACGTTGCGAAGGTGCGCCCTGAGGCGATCCCAGTCTGCCCTGTTGTAGCGAAATACTGTTCGCTTAACAGGGGGTTCATGTCTAGGGAGCACGGAAGAAAAGTCTGACAGTACAACTGCATGGTCAGATCGACCGAGGGGCGGAAGTATACGTGTAGTTACTGGGGACGTGAACGTTGACATTATGAGATCTAGCGGGTTGTCTCCACGAGTCGGTACTGTGACATGCTGGACAAGAAGATGGGCAGCGCAGGTATCTTCGAGAGCCTCGCCTGCAGGCGTAGTTTTCGAGCTGTTCAGCCAAGCCCGGTTGTGCACGTTGAAATCGCCAGCTAGGATGATGTGGGAGCCCTGGTGTCTAGCTTCTGGGAGGATGTTGTCGAGATGATCGATTAAGGTAAGATCGCCAGGGGCACAGGACCCCGACCGATACACTGCTCCCAAGACGGTGCGGAGACCTGGGGCCAGCTGGAGAGAAACCCAGATGATCTCATGTGCGGGGGACATGAGTTCAGGGATGAGCATGGAGGGGAGTGACGACTTCACCCAGATGGCTACCCCTCCCCCATGTGCCGTTCTGTCCAACCGAAGTGGTGAGCTGTATCCAGGGAAGCTAATGTCAGAGGGAAGCACTTTCTCCGCAGTGAACTTCGTTTCTGTCACAATTGCTACGTCGGGCTGATGCTGCAGGAGTGCGTGCTGTAGGTCGGGAAGTTTGCTGGCTAGGCCGAAAGCGTTTGTGCAGAGAATGCGAAGATGCTTGCTACCCTTCATTGCAGGAGGAAGTAATTAAAAAAGAGGAGGGACATTTGGCGTAAGCGGGTGCATAGTTACATGTATGGCTAAGGGTACTAAAATCTAATGAAATACCTAAAAGGATCAAGCTAAAGATAAGAATGAGGAAGCTGGAGGAAGACACGAGGTTGAAGTAGGACAGGGAAAACCAGATTGTGTTTGTATACCTAGGGCTACACAGGGGGAGAAGATGTTATCTGCGCCAAGTTAACTGCTTATTGCTTGACGCAGTGATCTTTTTCGCCTTCTTCTTCCTCTGGTTATCACTAGAAACTACCAATGGGGAGGTCGACTCCCGCGGCCTCTTGTGGAAGCAGTCTGCCAATATCGCCAATGCTCTAGCCTCATCGCCCCCTGAGAGTTTCCCCTCAGGTGGACAGTCCGACTCCTCGGCCCAGCTGCTGTCAGGTAGTAATTCGGTTGAGGCCTGGACAGTGTTCATAAATGGTCTGTGTTCCGCTGTCCCTCGCCACCTTTCACGAGTACCTGTCGACGTATCTGGCCGCGATAGCCACGGCCAATCGCCAGTTCTTGTCCGATACCTGTCCGAAGCCCGGCAAGGAACTGGACAGAACTGTTTCGTCCTTTGTGGACTCATCAGCGCAACACAGAGGAAATGGGGCCGAATCTGATAGCAATGAAATACAATTTTCCAAAGCCCGGTTATCAATATCAACTTGTTGCAACTGCGCTCCACCGCGTACTCGGAAAGCACGACCTGCCTGCCACCGGTGCAGCTCAATTCACCTCCCAGCATTTCCGTGCGCATTTCGTCCCACTCACCAGTCCTGATTCGCATCATGTACCACAACCGTATGCCGCCACTACGAGTACAACGCTAGCAAGTGTCAGCTCAGGCAGTGCTGCCTCCAGTGCCAATAGGAGTACCTCCCAGGGCTCAGTGCAAGGCCCAGTCAGTAACTGTGTAAGCACTCAGTTTCTCACTTCTCTAACTTACTGGACTCACATTCGGATCCTATGCTGGTATGTTGCACATTGCCCGTTTACATACCTCGGTGTTTCTCTGGCGTTAGCAAAAGTGGAGGGTCCAGCCCACGTCCTGACGTTTATCAGCATCATCCCGGACACCCACCGCGCTAACATCAGTATGCCTATGTACGAACTTGCCAAGCTTCGTGATCTCCTGGGGCCACTCTTCACACAGCTTCAACTACCCAATGTCAACTCGAGTCTCTTCTATGAAAGCTCTCGTTTTCTACCAGAGTGATGGCCCCTGGACGCAAATTGCAGATTATGGTCACTTGCCAACTGGTACCGGCAGCCGTATTACCTGATCAAGCTCTCCAAAGAGTGTCTCAAAGATCTTCGCTGATGGCCTGAGCTCCTGGATTAACAGAACGGCCGGTCCTTCTTCCTACATCCTAAGTGGACGCCGTCCCCCGACTTGCTGCTATTCACTGATGCAAGTGGTGCACTTGGCCGGTGCACGTACAATTGCGACCGGGGATAGGGCGATGGACAGTCAATCAAGCAGAGCAGCAATTGCAAAGAGTTGTTTGCAATTGTGGCAGCCTGCAGCACATGGGAAAGCTAGCGGCATCAGCTGCGAATGCCAATCGATCGCCATTTCCGGCAACTGCGAGAATATTGCTCATCAGTTGTGGCTTTGGCCTGGCGTTGTACACCGGCCACTTGTTTCGCATCAGCTGCCAGACTCGATATTCAGAGAGGCTGGAAGGTGGAAGGCAATGTCTGCTCGAGCAACATTCGGACGCCACCTGCAGCCAAAGCACGGGTGGCTGCGGCAATGGCCTCAGCCCATGATCTTAAGTTCTGATAGTCTTTACCTAGCTTGCACTTGCTCACAGATTGAACGGGTAGCTGCACTTTGTGATCCGCTCCGGGAGTGCCGATATATGGAATATATGCTCTCAACTGGTTATGTAGAACGGAAAAGGACATAAGGATACGAGTTAAGAGTAACTCTCCATCACTGTAACTGGATACTATATACAGTCAGAAAGTGCAATAACTAGGCACACAACTGACAAGAGTACTGAGTCATTCGACGTCCTGACACCTAGCTTCAACACATCTCCGTAGCGCTAACCGACAGCCTTCCAACTTGGAAGGTTCAAGGTTATGGAAAGACCAAAGAAGGGAAGGCAAGCGCGACGAGAACGAACCATACGAACCATACGGCGAAACGTACGTCGTGTGAAACAACTTGTTTTGTAGTCAACTAGTCCATCACAATGTCATGCATGAGGAGTACTGTAGGAGTTTGGCTTTCGGCTCGTACAATTCGTTTTCGCAAAGCTTCCCCTTTCTTTACTTATCTTTGATATTTATGACCCACCCAAGTTGGGTGGTGTGCTGCTTTGCTGCTTCGAATTGTAGTTAGACCGCTTTGTCAAATATCGTACTGGTCTCGTCATCGTCCAGTAACAATCGACATGCTTTGTTCCGTTGGGACTGTAGCTTTTGCTCGTTCTCGTCGCGCTTGCCTTCCCTTCTTTGGTCTTTCCATAACCTTGAACCTTCCAAGTTGGAAGGCTGTCGGTTAGCGCTACGGAGATGTGTTGAAGCTTGGTGTCAGGACGTCGAATGTCTCAGTACTCTTGTCAGTTGTGTGCCTAGTTATTGCACTTTCTGACTGTATATGGTATCTAGTTACAGTGATGGAGAGTTACTCTTAACTCGTATCCTTATGTCCTTTTCCTTTCTACATTTATTTATGGCTCAACATCCGAGTTTCAACTGGTTATGCATACCTATAATCAGGGATGAATTTACTATCATATTTTTGCATAGCAGTTTCTGCTATACAAAATCACAATTGTGTAGCAGTCTTTGATTTTGATTAGCATTTTTCTTTGAAGGTTGGGTGTTTACCACATTGTCCTTCTTGAGAGTGATGCCTGAAAGCCCACTTGCAAAAAAAAACGACTGAAGCATACATGTGCACACAGATTGAGAGTACCTGCACCACATACATTGCACTGTATGCATGTTACTTCATAGCGCAGGCTAAGCATGGATAGTCTGTATGTATCGCAGTTTTCTGCGAGTCACGGTGACTTTTGAGTAGCAGTAGATCGATTTTGCATCGCAAACTGCGATGCGATACAGGATAAATTCATCCCTGCTACATATTGAGCATTTGGCGGCTCTGTCCAGAGTCATTGGCGGCTCTACTCAGAGTCATTGGCGGCTCCATGCGGAGTCATAGGCGGCTCCATGCGGAGTCATTGGCGGCTCCAAGCGGATTCATTGGCGGCTCCATGCGGAGTCATTGGCGGCTCCATGCGGAGTCATTCGGCGGCTCCATGGGGGGTCATTCGGCTGCTCAATGCGAAGTCAGTCGGCGGCTCCATGCGGAGTCAAATGCCGGCTCCAAGCGGTGTCTTTTGCCGGCTCAGCTGAGAGCCATCTAGTGGCTCCAAGCAGAGCCAACATACCAGTTGCTCGAATCGGCACTCCCAGCTTAATCCAAAACTTGGTTGCTCTGTTGTGAGGTGTGTGTGGGGGGGGGGGGGGATGCTAAACTATCTTCTCCACGCCGCTTTTTTATACATGTTTCCCTGCTGACAATCTTCATTGCTTGCTCTGTTGTGTGGTTTCATGTTTGTCTTTTCCACGATTTACGCAGACTGCACCTCCACTTGAAGAATCTATGGGTGCTTCTGCAGGCCGCATCACCACTATAGTCGACAATATGAGAAGTTTGTCAACTGTCGTACGGGACCTGTCGACATCTCTTTTCCAACAAGGTACCAGGTTGGATAATCTCTCTGCACAGGTTGAAGTCACCAACAACCGCATGACTCAGGTCCAGCAGGAGATCTCTGCTGAAGCCCGAACTAGCTATGAACAAGTGGCACAGCTGAGCGACACAATGGCGAGAGGTAAATCATTTGCTGTCAACATTTCTCCTCAAATGATGTAAACGCTCCGATGTAGTGTCATCATAAAGCAGGGATTGGTGGTTGAAACACAAAAGGGGAAATGGCCGTAAATACATGCCTGTCCATACAACCCTATCTAAAAATGCGAAATTCTGGCACCAGCGTTCTTCTCCCACTACAATGATCTGCTTTTAGGTTTGTCAGATCGCATGAAAGAAGTCAAAAATCGCCTCTGCGGCTTAGACTCCGAGTGCTGGATGGTAATGGACCCTTGGTACAGACCCCCATGCATACAGTGGAACTCGTATACCTCCTCAGGAGTGGAACGATGTACAGTTTCTCCCTTCGTTGGTATAGATAGTCTCTTGGCAGCCAAGTAAGTCTTATAACGATACCTATCTTGTAGCAGGACTTGAAAATAAAGGTGCTTGAAGCACTGATTCACACTTATATGGAGTACTGCCAATACAACTTATCAGAAGTTCAATTCGTTTTTAGATAAGAAGAAGATGTTGAACACCTCTCTTCCTTAGCTGCAAGAGATCATAATATTTCTATAAAGACATAAACCGATTAACCTAAGCCAACGCGCGGAAACCAGCAGTGGAATGCAACTGCTGGGTTAAATCTTCTTGCCCGCTGGATGACCGATGTTTACAGAAGAAGGTGGTCTACCAAGCGGCCGTCAAGCGCAGGCGAAAAGAGGCAGTACTTTGGGCTTTGTGAGACACAGTACAACACGCACTATGGCAACCACCTGACAACCATGACGCGCAAAAAGTCTCGCAAAGTCACGGAACTATCATAGCACAATGTGGGAACGGCAAGACCAGGGTGAAGAGTACGACATTGGGTGATCCATCGTCGACAGAGCAAAGACCTACAGCAACATTAAAAACAATTCCGCGCTCAAGTTACCCCCCCCCCAGTGTAGCCTTCTACACACCCGCACTTGGCGCCTCCCACCTACCGGAACCAACCGTTGTAAAGACTCCCCACTGTACAAGTCCTTATAATAGTACGATGCTCTCCCTGCTAGCATTCGTGATGTTCCCTCGCGACCTGCTTTCAAAAAAAATCTGCTCCCTGCTGATTAACTCAATCTGCTCCTGCAGCGCTCACCCTCTCCTATACTTGTAAAATTCAAAGTGGCATACAGTACTTTCCAACCGCATAACCTGCAATCCCACTCACAGAATCTCACCTTCTAATAAACGTATCTTTTCACTCACAAAGCGACTGTTCAGTACATGGGGTAGTGGTCTACCAGAGCAATCACACTCACCACCGTGGTGGTTTTCCAGAAATGAGTAGAAGGAAAACAAAACCACACTCGCAGCCACATAATAGATAAATAGCCAAAAAACATCTAAATCCATCAAAGAACCGCCAGCAAGCGGGAGAAAAGGCCGTGAAATCAAGTAAAACAGCATGGCCAGTGGTGAGCATGGGTGACTGGGCAGCAGGGGAGCGCCTGAAAAACAATGACTCCCTACATTCCTAGCCGCGACCGCTCAACCGGGCTAGAGGAAAAACACGCCTTTCGGCCAAAAAACCTTTCTATTTCATTAATTCCTGCCCCGCTGTTTAGGTGACATGACAAAGGTAGGCATGTGGGGGCAGGCTTGTTGTGGCCCCTTGGTGCTGCAGGCTGTAGTGGCCATGCGCAGTTCTGTATGAATTTTGTTTGCTCCTTACTCAGCACATTCTGGGGCTGCATACATGTACTGGCATGGCATGTTCTGGCGCTACACACCACAATGAAACCCGACTCCAGTTGAGATGGCACCTTTTGAAGGGTAAATCTAGTACAACTATTCAAAAACAAGCAAGAACACGGCCTTTCAAACGTTCCACTGTTCCTAGTATGCGCATAATGTGCTGGCATGCTGCAGTGTCTGCTTGGTGCTGACCAGCAAGTGAAATCTCGGCACGCCGTACAATCCCTTGCAGCTAGCTGTCCAGCGAGGAAAGTCTCGAGTGGAGGCCTCTCGATCTACTTGCTCATTCGCTTGGCCTTCAGTAGCACTTCATCGCCAAGGACTTCAATTCAAAACAGTTTTCACACTGCGCTTCTAGCCTTTTTCCTCGTGAACTTGCTACAAACGTATGAGCTCTACTGCGCGTGTTCCCTTCGCGTGAGGCCCAGAAACAGCTAGTATCTCTGTACTTCGGTCGGCTGGATCGATGTCGTCCAGGTTCTCCAAGCTATCGCCATCACGACTCTAACTGGAGACGATTTCTTCACCATTTTTCGCAAGCAGCAGTTAGCGCAAAAATTTCGCCATCCCTGAGTGAAGGAGATGGAATCCGTTCTATCAGCTCAAAAACTCTTCGTTGTGACTAGAGGAGTAGCAGGGAATATTCTACCGGAAGCCCTTTGACTTCCCTGACTGCTGAAACCCTTCCTGCCATGACTGCTACTTCTTCAAACAAGCGAGATTCTCTTTGGTTCCACTTCACTGCACTCGAGCGTCCACGCGACACAACCTTTTTACAAAACATCATTTTTCTCAAAAAAATGATTTTCACCCTAAGCCTGGTTTTCGCAGAAGTTGGGCCATATGCTGGCTCCCTGTACTGCTTAGCCGCGTACTCATTCGGTAGAAATGTGGGAATAATACTACTAATAATCTGACGTGAGTGAGGTGGATGGGCACCAAAGGAACACAAGTTTGAAGTCAGCAAGCAGTCAACTTTTGCGTGAATTTCTTCCGGAACCATGTCTGGTGGGCCCCACCCGTGAAAAAACAAACAAACATTTGTCGCGTCCTGCCGGCCAATTGTCCCCCCTTGTGTGTCCGATGGCTGCGGACGTCGAAATCTGTTACACCCCGATTACACCTGGCCGGAAATCTACTAGCGTTTTGCACGATGTTTGACTTGGACAACATTTACTGCCATGCCATTGTTGCCCGATTTTTGTACTCAGACTGACAAACTAACTACTCTTGTTGCTCATAGTTGCCTCTACAAACACGATACAGTCATGTACATCGCTCTGCACATCCATAACATTCTGATGGTCCCGTGACATTGATCATGCACCCTATGTAGGGCCTAGGGCAGTACGGGCTGGGCGTTTGTTTGCTCCCTTGAATACGACGGCATGTACACCCCTTTCAATCGTGTCAACTACATGATGAAGATGTACTTCGTAAATTATCGAAAAAACATCCACAGTCTCAAGTACTGATACTTATCTTTTCTCTCCGGTCCATGTGCGGTCCGAAAACTGGCTGGCTGTCCCAGTGAACTCCGGTTGGTGTTGTCAACAGACAGCTACGACCTTGCTGCCCTTCGCCACGATATCAGACAACTACTTCAGTATGACTGCGGTGTCACCTCTGCCAGGAGCTTCGCCACCATTTGGGACACGATTTCATGATCGACAGCGCTCATCACCGACTCCGTAGACTCTCGATCTCATCACTGTGCCCACGGAAAACTCTCAAGGACTCGCTGAAGCCTTTGAGGAGTATGGTTGCGGTACAGGTAGGTGTCGACTCGACATGTCGGAACCGAGTGACCAATTGTTTTTGTCAACTAAATTTTACTTCCACAATCTTTGCTGATCGTCCGAAACGCCCTGATTTGTGTAGCTGTCAACGGTGACTCTGCTCCGCCTGGTACCAAACTTACTTGCTTGTGTGTGGCGGATTACGCTCAGCTCGTTTTAGCTGTTTCCGCCTTTCGCAGATCGATCTGCAGCTCCCAAAAACGTCAGGTTACTGGTACATCAGTTTGTAGGCCCAATCAGGCGATGTGGACCTTTTGAAGGCTGGACCGATTCATTATAGATGGTGCACGGCACTGTCGTTTCTTTCTCCTGGACTATTACACTGTAGATCTACTCTGAAAAAATAATAAGATGAGTTGTGGTGTTGTGTGGCTGCGAGTGGAAACTAAAAACTGGAGCACTTGAAAACTTCAACTACCACGAGGAAAAACAAAGACCACGATGGCAGGTTCAACGGAGTTGCGCAGAACAAGAGCAAATGCACGAAAATATTTGTGAGTGAAAAATACGTTTTTTGCACTCTTTCGCTACGCTCAGCCGTGAAAAAACAAAACTCTTATTGGCGATGGTGCCATAATGAGAAAAACGAATTCAAAGGTGTGGTGTGTGCTTAGCAGTAAAAGGTGAAGATGATCCGCACTGATGCATCCACGCTTCTAAACAAAAACAAAAACAGAATTAATATCAAAATATGGACACCAGAATATTAAAGTGAAAACTATCGAGCTCTACTGGTGTGACATACAGTCCACTTCGCTAATAAAGACTGCGGATATAATGACAATTCGCGAATAACGACAGAATGTCCATTCCCAGAGCAAAGCCGTAATACATAATTATAATGAGACTTCGGGTATAAGGACACTTCGCGAATAAGGACACTTTTCTGATGCCCTGCCAAGTGTTGTTATACCCAAAG